GTCAGTATGTCAAAGTGCTAAAGTGCTTGTACAGTAGGGCCACGATAGCTATCTGAGCACAGAACCAGAGTACGAAACCCATGCAACTGCAGAGAGGTGTAAGACAGGGTGAAGTAATATCCCCGAAACTCATCGTCGCAGCATTGGAAGACGTTTTCATGAAAATATACGATATTAACATTAATGGCGAGTACATCACCCACCTTTGATTTGCCGATATATTCCTGAAGGCAGAATTGCTTGAGGGCCTAAACGCTACGCTCAATGGCTTCAACAGTGCCTCTCACCGGATAGGTCTTAAAATGAACATGAACTAAACAAAGATCATGTGTAACGTCCATGTCACACCTATGCCGGTAATTGTTGAGAGCACTAAGCTCGAAGTTGTTGATGAGTATGTTTACCTAGGGAAAATAATTCTACTAGGTAAGTTCAACTTAGACCAAAAGATCAATCGACGGATTCAATTTTCAAATGGGCAACGTTCGAGAAATTACAACACATCATATCGTCAGGTATACCTCAAAACTTAAAAACGAGATTGTACAACCAGTACGTGTTGTAAGTGACGACTTATGAATCTGTGACATTGTCCTTCACTGTTGGCTGTATGAGGAAGCTAAAGGTTGCTCAGTGAGCAATGTAGAGGTCTATACTCGGGGTTTCTCTGCGTTATAAACTTAGACACGAAGATATCGCAGTAGAACCAGAATTATGGACAAAACCCAACGAATTGGTAAGCTGAAGTGGCAATGGGCCAGTCATATAGCTCGAAGATTCGACAACCGATGGGGAGAAAAGGTCCTCTAGTAGCAGACTCGTACCGATAGGCGAAGTGTTGGGCAACCCGCACTAGACGGAGTGACGACCTGGTAAGACACGCAGGAAGTCAATGGATGCAGGTGGCTCAGGACCGTGCTTTGTGGCATACCTTGTGGAAGGTCTATGTTCAGCTGTGGACTTGTGAAGGGCTATAATAATTATCACGATGATGATTGTGAAAGCGTGGTTCCTCTCCGGTTGAGCCGACCCATTCGTGACATAACCATAATATATAGCCGCAGCGTGACTCTTCTATAAAAAAGGGTAATAAATTACAAGCACACAGTCCACCTAATGATAAGAAGATGATGTAGCCCATATTTCTTTACATATACCCTTGATTAAGAATCAAAATACAGATGCATACATCCCTGAGGACTAAGATGGAATGCCAATTTTCTAGTAAAAACGGCCTCCGAATCTCAATACCACGTATAACTGCTAATGCGCGCTATCAATAAATCTGCTCCTGTTTTTTAATTAACTATAACTATTGTAAGCCAGTGTTACTACTATTCCAGCCAATGGTAAGTAGTGGTGGTGCTGAAGATAGTAAGTTGCACTACCTTAGCATAACTTATAAGCTAATCGTACTAAACCTTAATTTGACTTAAAGATAGTAAACAGACGCTGGCAAATTATTTCACTGCTTTACTGAATGCCAATGACCCCAATATTGAGTGACGAAGTAAACTATTAAGTCAAATTCGTTGCATATCGACAACAAAAGTTTAAAGACCAGTCGAGCGTCTTGTAGTCCGATGACAGAACCCGCTTGTTAACTATTAGATAAAACCCTCTACGATTTAATTTAAATTCGATATCCCAATCTTTATCCTTAACACAACATTTGATCCATATAATATGTTTTTATTTTCCGAGCCGCTAATGAGAGAAAACGATGCTATGTAAAAAACAGATGTACTGTTGTTGACATACAAGTGTATCTTACTATAAGGCGTACCAACCAGAATTCCTGACCACATTACGTGCTTATCTGGAGACAGTGCTATTGGTCGCTCGTCAATATTTGAGATCTATTGTCGGTACGAGTGTTTCAGATACACGTTCTTGTTATCAATGCACTTAACTAACATAATTCAAATCTAATTTTGTATATATTCAAAATTAATTTATGATTTTCATTTTCCTTTTTTTAAATACAGACAATCAAGCTACAACTTGTAATTATGCTTCGTGGTGGTATTGTAAGAATGTTCACACTCCATTTGCTTCATTATTCATGTAAGTGGCGACTTCAAAAAAAGGCAGTAAGATCCAATGGCCTCCGGCACTGAAGTTTTGCGTAACCCATAAATAAAACGATTTATATAGAAGTTAATTTAAATTTAATGCTTTTCAAAGTATACTCCATTACATTTTTGACATGTTTTCATTAATTCAAACCATTTTTTAAAACATAATGACCATTGATCTGTGGGCATATTTTTCGTGTGCTGGTTGAAGACTATCACAGCCTCTTCTGGTCCCGTCAATGCCAAACTTCTCATATTTGATTCATTCTTCTTTCTTTTCTTCTTAATCCCAAATTTTTGATTTAAACCGAAACAATTTTTTATCCCTCGTTATTGCATGCCACAATTTTGTTTTTAACTACTTACTAACTCAACTTAGCATTTTAACGTTCATAATCATACTTTAACAATTTTTTTTTCATTAAATTACTCGAGCCTGTTTGTTTGAGTTTTTAAGTTTAAATTCGTAACGAGTTCAGAAGTGACAGTTTTCTAACTCAAAAATATCGATGTAAAAAAGTTAAACTATATATGTCGCACAGCTGGGCACAGGCCCCCTCTCATTTCTCAGAGGGGGCCTGTGCCAAGCTCTTGCTCTTAGCAAGGGAATATCCGCCGCGCTGCCCTAATGCATCTTGATGAACTTCACATGTCTTCGAAATAATTTTTTTCTTATTTCTCAGTCATGTATCTTCACGTGTTTTCCTTCAATGCCAAACACGCGGTAAATCAGCACTTAAAACTGAAATTAACAATTTCATTGGTGCCGACAGGGATCGAACCCGGATTTCGCATACTGTGAAATTTACAGCGAGCACTTAGCACCTGAACCTGAACCGCGGCTCTTCGAAAATGTCGATGTAATTTTTATTGAATTTGGTAACATACCCAAATGTCCTCGAATCTCTTCACAGGTGATACGCCCGTTTTTTAGTTAGTTTTCTGACACTGACTACGACTGTCAAGCCACCCTTTTCTCAGTATTTGCAGTTGAGGGTCGACCTTCACGAATTTTATCACGGAGAAAAACACCACCATCGATCAAATTTTGTGTTACATTAATACCTTACAGTGCTCAAATGAGATTTTCCCTACCAAAACCATTTTGAAGACGACTAGTGAAATCTCGCGGAGAGAGTGAACTTTTGAAGTCATAGAAAATTCTCGCTTTTAAATTATTTTCGCGTTAATTCTATGTTTTTACGAGTAATGAACTTAGCTTATGATAAAAAACAACCCGCGACTTGCCGCCAACATATTTAAATCAATATATCAATTTCCTATATTTTAAAAAATATAACATTAAAAATTAAATCATAATATATAGTATAATATAGATTAGTGGACATTCTAGGGAACCAAACCAGCATATTATACAAAACTAAACTGAGTATAATTAATATTAATTAAAAATGCGTTTAAAAGATGATCATGTTATAATCGTGTGCTTAGTGATAATATTATTAAAGTAAAAGTCATTAATCAGTATAAAAGTGTAAACCACACGACGTTTATGAGTTAGGTAACCGGTATTTGTGCACAAATGTTTTTTTTTAATTTATTATAGTAATATGATAAGAATTTTTTACAATACGATTCAGCCGTGGTAGTTAGCTCATACGCTAAACGCTCGCTCTACATTTCACAGTACTCGAGAAACCCGGGGTCGATGCTGGCCAGCACCAAAGAAATTGTTTATTGCAATTTTAAGTGCTGATGTACCACGTGCTTGGCTGTGAGATAAAACGTCGTGAGAAAACCTATATATTTGAGAATTATTTAAAAAAAATATGTTTTGAATACATGTGAAGATCGCCAGGACAATTTCATGTCCTAAAATAGTCTCAGAAATGAGAGGAGGCCTGTGCCCAGCTTTGGGAAGTTTATAGGCTGTAATTTTAACTTTTTAGTATAATACAAAAGAACATCTTTATTTGTTTATTTCAGACGTCAAGGTCTAAAAAATTTAGAATATTATTCCGTGGGTGTCTTAAGAAGCGGCATAGGAAAATAAAACATGGGATAGACAGCAGCTTTTTCTGATAACAACTCTACGTGGTAGGTCCATGCTGCAGCTATATAAGTGGAATAGTAATAGCACGAATAGGTCAGCTCGACCAGGGAAAGACCACGAAAGGACCACTTTTACAGAATACCAGCGTAAATTAGCAGCTGAACGCTGTTGTGGTTCGTGTGGTGAGTGTAGAGAATCGAAGACCCTTTTTACTGATAACGAGGCATACCATCTTAGTCAACACATCTGCATTTTGTATCATAATCGATAGATGTAGATGTCTATGGGCCACAGTAACCACTTACCATCGGATAGACAGTGTGCTGATTCTATAAAAGTTAGTTTTAGATTTTCTATATTATAGTTTCTTCTTTTATATTGTATATAATTAGTTTTAATCGTAAATATTATAATTTTAATTATTATTTTAGTTAAGTTCATTATTATAATTTTTGTAATATATTTTGAATTTCAGCTTAGTTAACCCATTCTCTGTCGCTGTACTCAAACGAGTACAGTTATTTAAAAATTAATTGACTAAATCTGTGAGGGTTTATTAGTTTTTATTTTATTAATTGAATTAGAGGGTAGACTCATATTTTATTTAAGTCGTGCAAATTGAGGGTGTTTCTAAAATATGTGTCGTTTGGAGCAACAAGATTTCATGTTATTGGACTAGCGTGGAAGTGAGTAGTATTTTTATCACATTTTATTATTATTATTTGTGTAAATGTTGTTTTTTGTAATAATTGTGATTAGATATAGTGTAGTCTATAATGTGAGTTACAAATTTGAAACAGTTATTGTTTATTACTAACTTTAGATGAAGATTTTTACTAATGTACTCAGTTGAGTACACTGGTTACTTCAATAGATAAAAAATACAACTTTGTTTCAATTTACCAACAATGAGTCGCAAGATGTTTTTCGGTATAAATAGCTTTATAGCACCTGAGGAAGCAATTGCAGAGTCTGATGATGATGACCGTGAAAATGATTTGGCGATAATACCACCTGATTCCTGTATCGTGACTGACGAAATGGAAGAGTCTGATGAAGATAGGGTTGTTATACGTTGTCATGAGATGTGCTCGAAAATATTGAAGTTATAGTACGCAATGAAGGTACTTTTTCATCCTGCTATGATTTTAGAGAAGAAGAACCATTGGCCGTAAAAGGATTTCGTCGCAAGCCTAACATTCAGCAGTGGCAGTAAACTTCAGCCTGGAGAAAATGTCCACTATCCTATACTTTTGTCCATCAGCATACGTCTGAGGTGCAAGACAAACAAAATGCTATAAAGGAATAGCTGAAAGACCAAAATCCTGTACAGATTTTTGAAAAAATACTGAATGAATAAGTATTACAGCTTGTATTATGTAATAGTATTTTGTATGCTAATCAAAACAATAGACACTCTTTTCAACTTGATTTGCCAGACTTGAAGAAGTTCATTGGTATTTTGATTTTGTCGGGATATCACAAATTGCCTCGGGAAGTAATATATTGATGACTGGATGAGGACGTCAGAGTTGCTCTAGTTTCAAGAGCTATGACGAGGAATAAATTTCGTAAAATAAAAACGTATCTTCATCTTGTGAGTAACGATGAAACATCAAATTCCAGAAATAAAATGTTCAAAATTAGATCCCTAGCCGACATACTGACGACTAAATTCAATCAATGGGGCGTATTTGTACTACTAACTATGATTACTTTTAACCAATGAGCACGGTATAAAGATGTTGCCCAGAAATAATAGAGAAAACCAATGTAAGGATTCCGATTTTATTTGAAAACTACAACAAAGGTGGAGTCGATGACCTTGATCAATCCATATCATTATACAGGATCTGGATACCTGGAAAAAAGTGGTGGTGAGTTTTATTTACATACTTGTTGGACATGGCCGTTTCAAACGCTTGGCGTTTACATGTTTATGAGTAAGGATGGATGGATGGATCAACTCTTGCTTCGACATAGTCTTGCCAGATACTATTTGCGACAAGAAACTCTAAAAAGAGCCAGATCATATTCTTCTTTGGTCAAAAGACTGACTCAAGATGGTTCAGGCCACTACCCAAGGATGCTTGAAAAGCAATTACGATGCCTCATTTGCCATGCAAAGGTCCGATAGGGATGCAAGAAGTGTTTGAAAACACTCTGCATTGAAAAGTCATGCTTCGGAAAATTACACATATAAGTGGCCGCTGTACTCAAACAAGTACTGTATAAAAAAATAATTAAAAAAAAATTTTTTGTTTCATTTTATGTTTTCTAGTCCTGCCCAGATTAACAAAATAAATATTTTTCGTTAAAAACGTTTTTTATTTGATTTTGGCCACTAATGGGTTAATTAGAATATTGTAACCGATTTTAAGAATTACACAGGCGATGCGAAAACGTTAATCGTAATACCACACTATAAAAGTAAAAAACAAAAACAAATCCGACTAATTAAAAGCTGCGGTTATCAACCCACCTGTAATGGAGGCCTGTGTTCGGCAGTGTACTTTTCATATGCTATATAAAATAAATGAAAAAATTACCACACATTTACGTGTTTTAAATTAGAACACGTCATTTCTACAACTAATTACTACGTGAATAGTATGTGTTCCTCTGTTACCCTACAGGAAAATACAAGTCAACTTATTGTTTGCACTTGCGCGAAGGTTATAGGAAAAGTACAATTAACTTACATTACGTGGCGCTCGTAATACCATCGACTTATTAAAAGTTGTACGTCATTCAACTTCAATGAACTTATTAAATAATATAACACGTCCAAATTTATACTTCCACAATTGTTTACTTTTATATTGGGTGCCAATTAGTTGATCATAAAATAATTAAGCAAGAATTTTATGATCAACTAATTATATATATATATATATATATATATATATATATATATATATATATATATATATATATATATATATATATATATATCTCTCGAAGAGCTCTCCGCCTCACTTACCGGTAGGCGTAGTGTAGGGCTACCCCATACTAGATGGAGTTACGACCTGGTAAAACATGCAGGAAGTCGATGGATGTAGGTGGCTCAGGACCATGCTTTGTGGAACTCCTTGGAGAGGCCTATGTTCAGCAGTGGACTTGTGAAGGGCAGTAATGATGATGATGAATAACTAAATTCACTTTCAAAGTCTTGTCTATTTATAATTGTTCCGGCTTAAAGTGATATACATACAACACGTACGAATTAACTTGAGACTCCGCTGGAATGCGACCCCCTTCCCGACTCCCCGCACCGCGTCCCGCACTGTCCGTGCGCGCTCTGTACCGATAGCATTTTTGTTACGGATACGCGTCTCGACTCTAGTTCGATATTTTTGTATTTTTATTGTGTACGAATCTGTAACACTTTTTATAGTGCAATAAAGTGTATAATAAATAAATAAATAATATTATAAATGAGAAAGTGTGTATGTTTATTTCTTTGTCCTTCCTTGACGCGTTAACTAAAAATAATATTATATATATTATAAAAAATAAATATTTAAAATATATAAAAATGGCAACAGTATATCACCTATTACTTCACCCCTTGCCAGAACATTTTATTTTGTTTTTATTAATAATCTCAAAAAAATCTCAAAAATTTCAAATAAAAAAATATTACGACGCATTATTTTGCACACCGTACATTGACAATTACGTCATCGGCCCAGGTCTCAAGTTAATTCGTACGAGTTATATATTATGTAGTCGTATTTAAAATGCCACTAAGTCGAAGGCCACCTTTTTTAGAAACAAAAAAAAATTACTAGGCATACAATGAGAGTAGGCTTTTATCTAAGTCAGTGCACTATCTTCGGCTGCATCTACCACCACTTACCATCAAGTCCCATAGTGATCAACCAGTTTTTATTTTCTTTTATTTTTTGTGAAATAGTTCCCAATATAAATATAAATTATCACAAAATAATTTAACTAAAGCTAAAACGGAAATGAAACGAAACCAAAACGGTTTCCAATCAGTACAAATGTTGTAGTACTAACCACATAGCGGCGACTCTAACGCTGATTTTCAGTAAACGTCAGAGACATGGGTTTAATAAACCTAACTTATCACGGGCTCCAACATAAAAATATAAACATACACTTATAAATCTTTAAGCATAGTATACCTCCATCTTCGTCATTCTTTGTGTTCAGTTCTTTGTTGTGTTCAGGTATTTAATCAAAGGTTGAAGTTGAGTAATGTTTCGGTTTGCCGTCCCATCGAAATGAGAGAGAGAGAGAGAGAAGCAATGTCACAAGGCACCTGCATCCATAAATATTATTCCTCCGATAAATTATTACCTGGCCAAAGATAAAAATGGAAAAAATAAAACTATTTTATTTATACAATAGTCATTTTATGTCTTTTCAGATAACTTTTATTATTAATTACTTATTAAACTTTAATTAAAGTGAAAAACAAGCTAACGGTCTAATGCTGAGGACTCCTGTAATATATGAACAATCGAAATCAACTTTAAAAAATACTAAGACGGAATCCCTACTATAATAGATACCGCAATTGTACTGGCACTCATGCCTTTAAAACTGAAGCACGTTAGAGGATGTATTGCTACTATGCGCAAACACAAGTTTTGAGTTGATTAAACAATGGTAACATCCAATTGACAGTAAGTGGATGCTGTGGCCCATAGACATCTGCATTTGTTTTATCCTCGATCAAGAATCAAAACGTAGACGGGTTGTCACCCTATAGAACTAAGATAGAAGTAAAACGTACGTTACAATTAAAAAGGATTTCCGGTTTTCTGCACTCACTTTACGAAACACAGCAGCATTAAGCTGCTATTTTACGCTGATATTCAGTGAAATCCTTCCTGATGATCCTTCTCCGATCTAGGCGACTCAATCTATGCTGACTTCATAGTATAAAGGAAAAATTTCAATGGATACGCAACAAATCGAACCAATCAACGTTTTAAATACAGTTTCAATGAATTTCACTTAATTGATTAACCCAGTTGTTGATCACATTTCAGAAGGGAACGCATTTATTCGGTACTGGTATTGCCCATGCATCTATTTAGGTGTTTAAAGAGAGTAAATTAGTTTTTTTTGAATTTGTCAATGGACCTAATTTTAATTTTATAAGCTACACTCTGCCAGCTACAACAACTCATTAAAAAAGAGTTATAATAAGAAAATATAAAATTAAAAGAGACATCTGTGTTATTTTTGCTTATTAAATCACTTTAATTTTATTAAGTATATGTAAGGTTATTTTTGACAAAAAATTATATCTTTCTTTCTACATAGTTACTAAATTGTTATTCATTCGAAAAAAAAAATTAAAAAAAACTTAGTAATGCGAGAAAATAGGTAAGAACCGAAGTAGTAAGCATTTGACAATTACTTTATATTATAAAAACTGAGACCTTCTTGGATTACAAACTTTAATTATAAGAGGGGAACAATGTTACTTTTGACATTTTTGGGTACCTAATATAAAAGAAAAACGTGTTTTGAATCTTTAGAGCAAGCCAAAGACATTTAAGTTTAAATCTCTTTGGAGTAAGCAAATTTAAGGTGTTTAGATTTATTTCGATAAAAAATTCGAAATTCTTTCACCAGAAATACCTAAGTAATAAACTAACTCACTCATTTATGTCCGGTATCTATGGGTAAGCAGACGATTGCACAGTTGTGGAGACATACCAACCAAGTACTCGGGCCAGTCGGGATTAAATCCAGTCCGAAAGAGAGGTTATGATTGAGCGTGTGAATCTCACCCTACAGGCAGTCTCCGAATGGGGCGATGCCAATCTTGTGAGATTCAACGCTTCGCTCGCTCAACACAAGCGAGTCTTTTCACCAAAAAAAGGAGCCCGCTCATCTTGGATCCTACTTTCCGGAATGTATCCTTGGGGTATACTGACCGGCCTCTTAATTGTCTATAAAAAAGTAATGTTTTGAAGGAAATGCAAAAAAAAATCTTTTATTTTGTTATGCATTAGAAATCAGAAACTTCAGTGATTTCTGCATATAAAAGCATAATTTAAATAAACACAGAACGCTTTATAAGAATTAATTACAGTTTTATAATAAATCGGTGAGTCCATTACCT